CGTCCTTGATGCTAGAGGACATTCTACAGAATGCCTTAGATAGATCTCCAGCTATGAAATACTCATAGGATCGAATAGCAAGGAGGCAACCGGCTAGAGAGTTCTGAGGATAGCCACCACGATTAGAGAAGCGGTTTAGGTCTCTAAAGTCGAACACCACCCTACACGGTGTAGTAGGATGTAGATGGCGATACACTAAATGTGAAGGAGTGTAATGTTCCGCCAGAGGAACAGGAGAGCCTTCATTGACAGTACCCTTGACCAAAGTAGACCAAGCTGCTTGACACATAGCTCTAGTTGGCTTCTTCAAACCAGTTGACCGTAGATCACAGACAATCGAACAGAAACCCCTCTCGACAAGTTGTGAAAGGGCATCCTCAAACATAGATTGCTGTTTAGAATCTAGACGAGCTATAGAGGCTAGACCACGTTTAGCCGCGTAGTGGAAGTTGAAACCGGGGCGGTCTTGACTTCGCCATGGTACTTCAGTAGATGCACGACCTAGTGGAGCAATCTTATCACTGATCCATTCCCTAGGTATAACTTCCCATGGTGGAAGTAGATCACAGTCTGGGACTAGAGAGGAGTCAGTGATAGTATCAAAACACATAGTAGAGCCGTAACCGATAGATAACGGAAGATCGGGATAGATCTCAATGTCATCATTGAAGGTATCGTAGAGAACATAGTTATCATCTTTACCGTCGTAGCAGAACTCCAGAGTACTAGGCTTAATAAAGATGGAAGGTTTGACTCTAGATACCGATATAGATGATAGAGAGACAACATGGCTGATGTGCATAACAGCAACTTTACGTAACCAATCCATATCACGCAGTGATAGACGGGGTTCAGTACCGTCAACTGTAGAAACTTGAGTAGGTCGTTCTCCCAATCGAACAATGATACCATCAGGCGATATAGATATAGTGGTACGTAGCTTAGCCATAGTAGAGCATCCAATAATAACAGGAGTACTCAACTCATCAGAGGCGAGTAGGAAGGTATCTTTTGTAAAGGTATTCCCATAGCCGACCTCTAGCTCAACCTTTCCTAGAATAGAGAGGCTTGAGCCATTAGCAACATTTACCCGCCCTTGACTAGATGGGTCACCGAAACGTAGCTGTTTGCTAGTGATCTTTCGTAGAGTCCCACTGC